GAGGAAATCCATCGTTATATCGCAAAAGGTTCCATGGATCTCCTTCCTCACGCAGGGACTTATAGCCACCGCGGCGACTGGTGGGCCTCGGTATATGCAAAGTCGAAGCATCCACCGTCGCGACAAATTATCTTAACGACCCATTCAGTAAGTTTGACACGATTTTGCATTGTCATTTCCTGAACGCACACGGCGTAGGCCATAGCTTCGGATTGCGATGCCGTATTCCGCATCAACGACCTAAGGGCGAGGAAGGGACGGAGGCACGGCGACGTCCAGTACAAAGCCACTATGGGGGATGACGCGCGCAAGAAAACCTTATACGGCCACAAGTATGGCGTATTCATCGTCGACGAAGCGCATGTCATGCGTACCCCAAACGCGGCCTACTGCGCCGCGCGCGAGTTGCGGAAGATCTCCGTGATGAGCATGGCTATGACAGCAACACCCGTATTGACTATGGCAACGGTATAGAATCGTCGTTTTGTCGTACCGCCTCATCTCATTGCGTTATTACCAGGATGTATGGCACATTGGATGCCTGTTAGGGATCGCTAAATTTGACAACGTGGAGAATGATGTGAAGCTTCACGAGTACAAGACAAAGCTGGCCGCTGCGCTGCGCGCGGATCGCATGCATGCAAAGTCTAGCGGCGCCGACAAGAACATCGTCACGCGCGTCGTCCGTGGCAAGGAAGTTAACAAGCTCGTCGAGAGCACCTTTTCGACTTTGGTCGACGATATCATGGAGGACATCCGCAAACGGTTCGATGGATTTGTGATTCGACGCACTCTGCACTCGGTAGACTGGAGGAAGAAGCCGATCTCGGGGCTTACGCCGTACAAAGAACAAGTCATCATGCTCACACTGGCCGAAGAGGAATACGCGAATCTCGACAATATTGCTGACGAAGCGGCAAACAATAGCAAAGGCGGCGCGGTTGTGTACAGCAACGGCAAAGTGAGTTGATCAATTCAATATTTCTGCGAGGCCGTGCGTCCGGGACGCACACACCCGCACGCAGGGGGCGCGTGCGTGTCGCAGCCCTGACCGGGCGCCACCCGCGCGGGCGTGCGTCCGGGACGCACACCCCTGTTCACCGCTCAGCATGTGTGGGTCCCTCAGTGTAGGCATGCGTCCAAGACGCACGGCCCTGTCTGTGCTTTACGCTGTAGACTCCAACTATAGGATGAATAGCTGCATGCGTAGGAATCAAACTCACGCACATTCCAATTTTCAGTCATTTTATCTCGCTGTCCGTCGGGCGCTGCTGCACATGGCTTGCAATCCAGAGTTCATCTGGACAATGCCGGCTACCCTTCAAGATTGGCAGACGCAGTCGACCGCCAAGATCGTCGCCATGGCTGATTTGATCCGCTATCATCTCGAAAGTGATGGGCGGTGCCCTCTCGTCAACTCCGTCACGAACGCGGATGATGAAGCATCTGCTGGTCTTACTCCACGCGCCAAACTACACTTGCACAATCGCCTCGTACCCGACGCCTCTGACGCTATCGCCGAAGCCGGTGACCCCGTGAACGACAGCAAACCGGACAAAATTGTCCTCTATATGGCCTTCCCTTCCACTTTTAGTGTGCTCCTGCCTGTGAGTTTCTCGTTGATTCACGTTCTTCCCCGGTGTTCACGATCCATAATCACGAACAACAGATTTTGAGGCTCTATGGCTTCGCGTTCGTTACCGTCACCGGCGATATGCCACCAGCTAAAAGGGCGGCAATGCTCAAACAATTCGCCCGCGGTGGTCGTGATGGTGCTCGTCTTCTCATTCTGTCTGCCGTTGGCTTGGTCGGGGTGAACCTTGCTATAGCGTGCATACTCATCATAGTCGTGAGTCACCTCAAGATTATATAGCTTCTGCTAACTTTGCATCTAGGACACCCTCTGGTCAGCCCAACAGGACCAGCAGCTCATCGGCAGGCTCTGGCGCGATCCCCAGGCCAAGCAAGTCCTCGTCTACCGTCTAATTGCGAGGAACACTTCTGATGTGTTCTTAAACAACATCTCCTTCGACAAGTCGATCATGCATCACGCGTTCATGGGCTCGAGCATGTCGTTGAGTAAGTCTTTGCACCATAAGTGCACCTTGGGCTCGCTGACGCCTCCCAGAGCGCGTGTTTGATCCGCAGCTTGAAATCGACGTCGACGACTCCGAGTTGCAAGGCGAAATAGTCACAGATTTCACAGAGGAGCAGATCGAGCCACCGTGTGTAAGCAAGCCCTCGCGTGGCCGGAAAATCGCAAATGCAAATGAAGAACATGCAGAAGGGTCTAGCACACCAGAGACGCGCCCAAAGAAAAGCAGAGCCAAGCGAACACAGCAAGGTGAACCTATGGACAAGGTAGCTGACAAGCCTGGGCCGAAGAAACTCACCGCTGCGGAGATGGCCGAGAAGAAACAGAAAGAGAAGGCCGAGAAGAGAGCCGCGAAGGAAATGGAAGAGGCTAGTAAGAGAGCCGTGAAAGAGAAGGAAAAGGCTGATAAGAAGGCCGCGAAGGACCAGGAAAAGGCCGAGAAGAAGGCCGTGAAAGACCAGCAGAAGGCCGACAAGAAGGCCGACAAGAAGGCCACAAAGGGAAAGCAGAAGGAGAGACCCGCCGCACTTGAGCCTGAGCGATCGGCCTCTCCAGCTCCGCCACCCACGCGCACCAAGTGCATACCACAGAAGACCCTGTCTCAGGAAGTCGTATCAAGCTCGGATGATGAACGCCAAGGACGGGTGCTCCGACGAAATCAGGACCTCGTCGATGATTCAGAGGATGATGCAGCACTCCCAGGAGCTGAGGGTGACGCGGGGCGCCCTCCTAGCTTGCTTGGACTCCTTGCGCGCACAGACGTGGACGACCTGGATGCTGTTCCTAAGCAGGCGTGCGTTGTTTGGACTGTACCCACTCACCATGCTAAACTCGCTTTGCAGGGACCCATCTGGGGATGCGAAGAGTACTCAGCTCCCGGAGGATATCGAGTTGAATGACAGTTATCCAAAGGACATTCTCCGGGCCGATTCCACGAAGGTGAAATCCACTTCTGGACAGAATCCGTTTGCGAGCGACCGGCAAGTCCCAACACAGTACTTCTCAGCACGAAGGGTACCACGCCACGGAGGTGGCACTTCCTCCGAATTACTTGGGTCGTTGACGCCCCCCATCCGTAGCGGACTCCAGGTCCTCAATGACCACGTGGCCATGCTTGACTCCTCGGCGGTAAGCACCTATACTTGGGCAGGTTAATATCACTCACCGATCGCGTGTTACCTCAGAACCTATCTCAGACTGCCGCACCGCACGAGACGCAGACCTCCTGTGAGTTTCTCCGTCCTTCCTGCTTCTTGTCTCTCATGTTTTCCACAGCACCTCTGACCAGTATCGATACTGACGACGTCGGCGGTTCGTCCGCTGCCACTGCCTCCAAGCACCGTGCAGAGGGACCGACTGGCGACTCCCCGCCAGCCAAGCGCCACCACAACCGCCCTTCTTATGCGCCGCAACGTATCCCTGCCACCATCTCTTCGGCACCCAGCTTCGCGCAGTTGCCTAAACCCCGTGCCAAGAGGACGTAGGCGGAGGATCAACCGTGCACTCTTTGTCCCGCTGAGACTCCCATGTATTTGTGTTGTAGACTACTTGTATTTGAATGCTCATCCGATCGATTGATGTAATTAGTTCTTTAAGACATTATAACGCGTGCATATCAGGGAACAGGTGCAGCGCGTGCCGTGCGTCCAGGACGCACGCATGCCGGCTGGTATGTGAGGTCCTTGGTCCGTGTTCGGACGCGTGCGTCCAGGACGCATGCATGCGCACGGGGTCGCTTCAGTCGCACTTACCCTCCAAGAAGGCTGGTGAATCGAGCCCGTCTAGCCAATTAGTTCTTGTCATCTTGCAACGGCCTCAGACAATAGCAATGCGCGGGTGGATTAAAACAAGCGGCCAGTACGCCGCTCGTACCCACAGTGATGCAATTAGAACGACCAAGGGAGTATCTACATGCACGAGAGTGAAAGTATCACTTGTATAAGCTTCCTGACAAAGGCTCGTCAAGATTGATTTTGGCGTCGGCCTCATCACGGCCCAGGCTACCACCCTTCGCGGGAGTCCGGGTTCTCTAGCTTGAACTTTCACTAAGCGACCCAATCCTCGCACACACCACTACGTCGCTAATATCCTCTCGTAAGCGATGAATGATGGAGGGAAGCAACGGCTAGCGTGAAGAGACGCTCAAAGGATGTATAACTACACCCACACATTAGCCTGTACATCTCGGAGGAGCGGCCATGCCCCCTGTTACACCACCGCGCCCTTTTCTGGATCAGTGTATAGCTCCTACGCCGCCGAACTCCCCCATATCACCAACTCGACTTTCCAATGATTCCTCGCGCCCGCCGACTGCCCGCGCGCTCAATAGGCGGCTTTCCCCCGCTCAAATCGCCCACGTCTTTCTCCGCCTGGCCATAGTGATGCCTGTGGCAGACTATGAACCACGCGTGCTCGATACAATACCAGAGGAACCCAACGAAGACATCGCGCACCCAGATCTTCACCAAAACACGGTAGTGCCAAGCCAGCTGGCCCGCGGGCGCGACGACATCGCCATTCATTATGAGAATGAAGAGCCCCCGGAGGACGCATGCGAAAGTGGCATGGAGAGCGCACCCACACACTCCGATGACAAAACACCGCTGCCTCTGAGGAAAGACCACTCCATTACGATCATGGGCCCCTACCTCGATGTCACGTCGGCCATGACAGTGGCAGATGACCCCACCACACTCGACGTACAGCTGGACGTCCCCACATATCCCGATCCACCCGCGGGACCGATCCGCTTAGCTGCCTCCCCTCCGCGACGACTCCATACGGGTATGAGAATACGCGAGAACAATCTTAGCGGAACGATTGGACGCGTCACAGAGTGGACAAGACGCACTATCGTTTATAGCCTCAATGTTCACTCTGTCGGATCCACACACGAACTGCGTGTGCCACGGTGTCATGCCTCCCTACGCGGATGGGACTGGCTTCTGTTTGTCGCAAGCTACCCATGGCTTGCGGAAAATCTCGAGGGCGAAATAATGCACGAATTACCAGTCTCTGCGGACCACCGAGCGTAAGTAACAGTAGCACAATAGTCGCATCTATCACATAAAGCCTTGGGATTCAAAAACATTACTTACATAGTCTAGTCCTGTTATTAATTCGGGCGTCCACATATTGATCAATGAAGTAAATACATGCTTTTATTCATTCAGTATTTATTTCTCAAAATGTTCTGCGGCTCTTGTTCAATGTCCACATCTATATGATCTTTTATACAAGAAAAGTCATTCCCAGGAGCTTACATGCGTCCGAGAGGCATGTATGCGCCACTACTGGTCAATGCCCGTGTAGGCGGCACTCAGCGAGTGCGTCCTGGACGCACGCGCGCGTGGTTGGCCATGGTGCCCCGCGCGCGGCCGTGCGTCTCGGACGCACGCGCGCCTTGGCCATGGTGCCCCGCGCGCGGCCGTGCGGCCAAGACGCACGCGCGCGTTGTTCGCCATGGTGCCCCGCGCGCGGCCGTGCGTCCAAGACGCACGCATGTGTCACCTCGCCCGGCACTCATCTGCTCGGAGGTTCGCGTCTTCCCATCCTTCACCGCCCGGCTCGCCTCACGCACGCCGCCTGTGCGTCCCGGATGCACGCATTACTGACCATTCTCACGCGACTTTGACATTATGAGATAAATTACCCCATCATCTCGTGATCTACATGTGACATAACAATACGTAAAAAGATCTCAAAAGGCCGTCTAACACTCCCACAGAACCTTCTCCGCTTCCGTCAAGCGAACGTCTAATCACCGCACGTCACCGCTAATTACCTACCAAGCGAGATGCTCTCACGCAAAGGCGCTGGTTTGAGGACTTATAACAGCAGGAATGTCTGCGGTGGCGAGCCAGTAATCGTACCATCCCTGCCACCCAGCCCCCAATGCAACCTTCACCCCTATCTCACCCGCGGCCCTCCCTATTTCAACGGGCGATCTCGTTCTTCGATGTCATGTCTGTACGCGCTGAACGCGTCAGTGATTTTCTCTTCGTCGAGCCCACCGTTTGGGTCAATCACTACGCACCTCCCCGGCCCTTGGCAGTCGGCCAATTCCTGCACTTGGTCCGCCCCGGAGAGTCAGCTGAGCAAGCCCGGAACATGGCCATCATCGTCGCGACTCTCGCGATCAACCAGGATTGGATCACTTTCCTCATCATCAATGAAGATGAGCTGGGCGAAATGCGCCTGGCCGAGCTGTGGGTCCCAACAGAGCATACAGTGAGACGTCGACGGGCCTGGCTCTTCCGCCATGTGAGGCGCCAGCACCTCCCCGCGAACTGCCCGCCGGACGAGCGCTGGCCGACCAATTACACCCCTCTCCTCCACCGTGCTGTGTCGCCGAACTTGCCCACGATGGAGTCGCACTCCAATGCCTCCACATCCAACGAGGGGAGCGCTGCGCACTAATTTCTGACTGCGACTGTGAGTACTCACTGGTGATCCGCTCTAAACTTCCATGACACACCATCCAGGATAATACAATGTCAAGCATCCAACTGCTATCACCATGCATGATAGCCTCCGAATGACACTGGACTGGTTGTATTGCATGATGATTGAGCCTATACCCGTACATACGACTGCTCCATACTTACACTCCTTGTTGGCCTCATTGCATACGCTCCTTGTTGATCCCCATACTTTATGTTGACCCCCATAACTGTTTATGTAGTCTCCCACATTAACGGACATGTTGGAACAATGGGTACGGTGGCGCGATGAGCGTGTTTGTTCATAAGCTAGCGATGCCTGTAAGGGACAATCGTGTACTGTACATATATTGCGCGCGGTCATTTAATACTACAATATGGGACCTCTGGCCTCTGGCTACTCGCGCGCCCGAGCTTGCGAGCTTGTTCCTGACCATGTGGGTTAGCGCATTTCAACAGGACATGCATCAATGCAACTTCACATTGATAGGTTTGACCTGGCCCTGGCCTTGGAAACAACTTTGCAAACCCATCTTGCACCAATCCTTTGCCTTGGCATCATATTTACTTCACGGAATACCCCATGTGCTTTTGAATGCTTTGAACCAGGAAGTAAATTCCTATCTGATTGATCTGTATTTCTTTTGCCCGCCAGCTCTCTGACCTTCCCCTGGCATCTGCACACTTCCTCATGATTTTACTATGACCTCTCAATTACAATCAAATCCGCACTCAGTTCTAATTTATTGATCCTAAAGCCTTTAATACTTAACTTTAGATCATCAAATCATTGGCAAATTGTCTTATCATAACTCCTTGTTATATGAAATACCTCGGCATATTTGTGTAGCTACAACATTCCTTGTAACCCTCCCATATTCCTTTTGGTTCATACATGTTTCTCCACTTGAATGCGATAGAATTCAGTCCAATTGAACGAGAAAGTCGAAGAAGCATCAGAAGGCGGAGAAACAAGACTCTCATGCCACTAGTGACAACTCTCAGTTTGGTAGACTGTACAATGTACCAATAATTGTTTTCCCAGAGATCAGATACCAAGCCCATCCTACCAATATTCAAGAACA